AAATTATTTTTTTTAATGGATTATTACCCCTGGAAAAGTGATCGGCCAATCGACTAACAAGTGGGTTCCTACTTACTGCTAAGTACACAGGCGTGTCAAGTAAAGAAACTTGCCTGAGGTTTCACCTTGCCCAGGAATCGAACCCAGGTCCTTTCACCTGCGAGGCGAGCGCGCTCGCCACTAAGCTACAGGACTCAAAGGTGCGTGAGAGGGGCAGAGGGCATGAATCACAAGACGGGTCAGAACAATATCTCGAACAATAGATGACGTCTCCAGATTCCTAGGCTCACTTGGACTTAGGAACTAACTTGCCACATCATTGAGTGGGTGGTGGTACCATTACAACGTGACAACAGTTAACACAATCTCCTGAAAAGTTATCACAGAACACAGACTGTGTCATTAATCCTTTAATGGGTGCCATTAAATATATATATAAATATATAGATATATTGAGCCTGGAGCCCAGATTCACCAAAGGGCTGAAAGAGTTAAATTATGAGGACAGGTTCCATAAACTTGGTCTGTATTCCCTTGAGTCCGTGATGCGCTTTGAGACGTCTCAATGACGTGATGAGGCACTATATCGAATGCAAGGATTTTTATTATTATTATAATAATAATATTGTGGAGTCCTGTAGCTCAGTGGTTAGAGCACTCGCCTTGCAAGCGAGACACCTGGGTTCAATTCCGGGCAGAGGGCGAAACCTTGGGCAAGTTTCCTTACTCCACACAGAGCCTAATAATAATCCCTCCAAAACCAAAAACAATAATAAATTGGTCATTTTTAATCCACGGCTGTTTGTGGCCACGCAAGTGGCTGCCGCGTTTCGCCCACAAATATACAGTCAATTCACTTTACAGTATATTCTGTGAAGTGCTTTGAGTCGTCGAGAAGACGTGAAAAGCGCTATATCAAACGCAATGATTATTATTATTATAAAAAGAAAAGTATCTGTCTATATTTCCTTTTTTTTTAATACAGTTTGTTTCTTTGCAGAGTATCAATAAAGCGTTTCGACGCAGATGGGAGTTCTTTGTCTCCAGCATTCAGAGACGGCCTCTGTTGAACGGATCGCAGTCCACATAGCCCTAGTGCTAGTGGAAACCTACACAAGATTCAACTGTCGATGACAATATCTCAACAGAAACTGATGTAAAATAATAATTCTTGCATTTGCTACAGTGCCTTTCACATCAGGAACATAACAACGTAAGAATTTGCTCGGGGAAAGAAGACCCTCCTGGCACTTGCTTATCATATTGTGTCCCAAACTATATACTGTATCCATCGCCCCCCCCCACTCCCCTCCCTTACCCCCCCAACCCCAACTCGGGTCCCTGTCCAGCACCTTGGGACGTCCTCCCGACGTGAAAGGCACTATACAAATGTAATCTTGTTGTTGTTGTATCACTACATAATATTTTCTAACAGAAATCTATCAAATTTGTTCTTAAAAGAATCAACACTTTCTGCTTCCACCGTCTACCTGGAGAGCCTGTTCCATACTTTTACTACTCGCTCACTCTCGCCCAACTCCACTGGCTCCCTATCCTTCAGAGGATCCAGTTCAAGATCCTGGTCCTCACCTCCAAAGCCCTCCATGGCCTCGCCCCACCCTACCTCCATGACCTCCTAACCCCCTACCAACCTGTCCATTCTCTCCGCTCAGCCGGCTCCGACCTGCTCCACGTCCCCGACCCACCCACCCTACCATTGGCGGGAGAGCCTTCACCCACTCTGCCCCCAACCTCTGGAATTCCATCACCCCTCCTTCGCCTCCTTCAAGTCCCGCCTCAAGACCCTCCTCTTCGACCATGCCATCGGCCACCCCCCTTCCCCTCCCCTCCCTTCTTCCCCCCTGACCCCAGCTCGGGTCTGAAATGCTATACTCTGTCCAGTGCCTTGGGACGTCCTCCCGACGTGAAAGGCGCTATACAAATGTAATCTTCTTCTTCTTGTTGAAGTAGTGTTTCCACAGAATTGTTCCAAACCTATCCCCCTTCAATCGAGGGCATGTTCTCTGGTTCTACTGTTCTGGACAAGATAAAACAGCTTATCATATTCTACATCATTTAGTTGCTTCAGAAACTTAGAGTCCATATCCATATTGCTCTCAACCTTCTGTTCGCCAGTATTTCAAAGTGTTTCACAGAATTTACTGTAAACTATAGTGACTAATCTGTAGGCAAACAGCGATGCAGTGACTGAAAGTTGATATCTGGTTGTATTATTGGCCAGAAAGAGAGAAACTCCCTTCTTCTTTAGAATAGTGTTGCGGGATGTTTAAAAGTCTCCCTAAACAGGCACAGATGGGAGCTTTGTTTAATATGTCATCCGAAGGACGCACCTCCGATAAGACCATGCACCCCCTGCACTGCACTGGAGCTCAAAGTCCCGACGTGGGGCTCGAACCCAAAAGCTTCTGATTCAACAACAACAAATGACATTTACACAGCGCTTTTCACATCGAGAGGATGTCCCAAGGCGCTGGATAGTCAAGGATTTGTACCCAAGCTGGGGTTTGGGATCAGGAGGGGTGGAGGGCAGGGAGGTTGAGGAGGGTGACCTTGAGACGTGCCTTGAAGGAGGTGAGGGACGGAGGGAGGTGAAGGGACTGCAGATGGAGTTCCAAAGAGTGGGGGCAGAGAGGCCGAAGGCTCGACCATTGGGATTGTTACCAACAGAGTGTGGGAGTTGGAGTTTAAGAAAGCTGATGGGTTTCTGTATGTGACTAATGAAATAGTCAATGGAGGTCTATACAAGACTGAATCAGCTCAGTGCAACCCTGAGAGGGAGAGAGAGGCAGAGGGTGCAAGGGAGGGAGAAGGTGTGAGAGAGAGGGATTGAGGGTGGGAGAGGCAGAGCGAGAGAAGGAGAGGGAGAAAGATTGCGGGAGGGAGTCAGATAAAGGATTGAGGGAGGGAGAGTAGAGGGTGTGAGGAAGGAAGAGAGAGGATGAGGGTTTGAGAGAGGGAAAGGATGGGTTGAGGGTAGGAGAGGCAGAGGGAGTGGAGGAGAGAGGGAGGGAGGGAGAGAATGATTGAGGGAGGAAGAATAGAGGGTGTGAGGAAGAGAGAGCAGAGGGATTGAGAGAAGCAGAGGCCTTGAGGAGGGATAGGCAGAGGGTGTGAGAGAGGGAGAGACAGAGGGTGTGAGCTGGTGGTTGAAGGATAGCTGCTGATGATGGGATGGAGAGAGTGGGGCAGAGTATTATCAAGCAGGGAGGGGGAGTGAGGATGAAGGTCACAGAGGTGGGGAGGTATGAGGATGTTAAGGGAATATGTTGGGGGAGTGAGGATCTTGATGTTAATCTGCTGTAAACCTGACACTTAGCGGAGTCTCGTGAGGACGGGGGTAATGGGCGTAAGAAGCTTAAAGGAGGATACAGTTAATGGTATTGTTTTACTAAATGGTACTGTGTTCATTTCAACCTTATTCTGTTACAAGCTGCTTTGTATCGGCGGACGCACATAAATTAACTTCTCCTTCCTCTGGACTGTGCTTATTGTCACACGTCTCTGTTTGACACTGGGACTATCAGGATCAAAGGGCGAGCGACAGAGGCTTACATTTATTTTACGTCAAAAGGAACCAAGCACATTCCAGGGTAAAGTTGGACGGGGAAAGAATATAAATCACCCTTGCATTCAATAGGGACTCAAAGCCCTCCACAGAGTTTCTGCACAGTGTAGTGACTGTGTAATTGTAGGAAGCAATGATGCGGTTGCACTGGCTCCAGTATGGCGTGTTTGGCAATGGACCGTCAGATTCGAGACTACCCTCCGTGACGGTCTCTAGTCCAATTCCTGAGCCGGGTGGGTCTGCAGCACTCCAGAGCACTGCCGATGACTGCACAGCCCAGCCTGGCTCATCGGCAGGACTTGAAGGAGCGGTGAGAGAGAGGGAGGGAGCAGGGATTCTTCCCATTTGTCTCCTGTTAGGTTGCCAGCTGGAAAAGCAGCAGGAAGCTAACTGGACAGGCAATGCTCTCGATTGTACGTTACGTGGGTTAAGCTGGTTAGACTCCCAGCGATACTCTCCCGAATTAGGTAGGCAGGGTACAAACCCGCAGGGAGAGAGGGAGAGGGAGGGAGAGAGAGAGAGTGCGCATTCCATTCCAGACATAAGGAGATTCCCAACGGTAGCATATGTGGAACTTTCAGTCCGGTTTGGAGACTCTTGAGCACACAGTGATCAAAATAATGACTGGTGTTCCTGAAATGGAGCCTGTGTTGCTGTAACAGATGAAGGCCTCTAAGCGGCACTGCAACAGCTACCCTCACAACGGTCAGTGTCATGGTCAAAACATCTCCAAACCCTGCACGGTGTCCTCGGTATAATGTAGTGACTGGGTGTTTGTCAGTGAACGCACGTGGCAACTTGAATGTATATCCGTGTCCTCAAGCCGCTGACTCCCCTACCAGGGAAAACAGCTTCTCCCTATTTACACAGAGTGAAACAGAGAGCGTTGCACGCGCGCGCGCGCACACAAACACAGACACACATACACAATAACATAGAGACAGTGAGACAAACATACACACATACATCTCACGTAAGCACATACACACGCAGTGACACAGAAACAGTGTCACACACAATGACACACACATGCATAGTGTTTCACGCACACACACGGAGTGACGCAGACAGTGAGACACACGCACACTTACAGTGACAGACAGTGAGACATATGCATCCTACATAAGCACATACGCATACAATGACAGACGCATTGGCACACAACACGCACACGGTGTCTCACACACACAGCGTCACGCATATGGTGTCACACACAATTACACACAGTGTGTATATTATACATAGTGTCTCACACACACACACACATACAGTGACACAGTGAGAATGTCACACACACACACACACACCACAGGGACACAAATGACTGACACACGAGCACATGTGGCAAAGCATGGATGAGGCTGGGACCTGAGCGGAGAAGGAGAAAGCGGGGGGGGGGGCGTGGAGTTTGTTTGGAGGGAGTGTATGAGTTGGCACCATATGCCAGAGCGAGGAGAAGAAATATCTCCCAGTTGATTTGTTTTCTGAAAAGAAGAAAGTGTTTTAAGATAGAGCGTTCACAAACATTTACAACTAACACCTGCAGCCAAGGTCAGCGACTCAATGGGAAATGTGACAAAGGCAGCGTTCAATATTTCTGTCCTCTCGCACAGGGGAAAGGGAGGGGAGACAGTGTGTGTGTGGGGGGCGGGGGGGGGTGGGAGGTACATACACTCAGGGGTGTATGAATGAAATAATAATAATCCTTGCATTTGATTTAATAATAATAATCCTGGCATTTGATGTAACGCTTTTCCCGTCTTCTCGACGTCTCAAAGCGCTTCGCAGAATATGCCGTAAAGTGAATTGACCGTAAATTTGTGGGCGAAAAGCGCCTTATCGAGTCTTTGAGACGCCTCAAAGCGCTTCACAGGACACACTGTAAAGCGAATTGACTATATTTTGTGGGTAAAACGCGGCAGCCAATCAATCACAAACTGTCGTAGATTGAGTGCCAATTTTTTTGGGGGGGTGGTGGGGAGGTGGATTAGTACCCCCAGAAATTGATCCGCCAATTGGCTAACAACCGGGTTCCTACTTATTGTTAGGTAAACAGAAGCATGTGTGTGGAGTAAGGAAACTTGCCTAAGGTTTTGCCCGGACCCGCCCGGGTCCTCTCGCTTCCGAAGCGGGCACTCTAACCGCTGAGCTACAGGAGTCCTTTATGTATTTATAAAACACCTAACCCACCATTCCTGATAACTCCCCACTGAGCCTTTTTTCCCTCAGAGCCACCAGTTATCAGGGGTTTACTGTTATAATCCTTGCGTTTGATACAGCGCCTTATCATGTGGTCAAGGCACCCCAAAGCGCTTCACAGGATATACTGTGAAGCGTAGTGAATGTGTGTTTTGTGGTCGACAGATGATTTGTCAAGTGAGTGAGTGATCGACTTTATTGGCACTGACTGATTGATTTTTTCTGGGGGATTGTTGGTCAGGACACTGAGAGACAGAGAGAGGGAGAAAAACTCCCTTCTCTTTTTCCAGACAGCGCCGCGGAAAATCTTTTAACATCCGCCTGAACCTTAGGCAAGTTTTCTTGGGCAAGTTACTGTCAGGTAAACACAGGCGTGTACGGGTGTGTCTGAATAAGGAAACTTGCTTAAGGTTTCGCCCTGCCCAGGAATCTGTGAAGCGCTTTGAGACGTCTCAACGTTGTGATAAGGCACTGTACCAAATGCAAGGATTATTATTGTGGTCACTTTCCCTTTCTCCCCAGCTCAGCTTCAAGCTAAGCCCTGTTAAGCGCTTCGAGACGCCACCCTGTGTAAACACAAGTTCTTGTATTCTTATTTTAGCGATTATAGCTGCCCAGAGTGTTATTGAGACTACTGGAGACAGGAGATGGGGGGAGAGAGAGGGAGACATGTCTCTGAGACCATCTGGATTGTCTTGTTGAACCTTGTTGATCTCCGCACCAGCACAAATTATTTTTACCTTGTGCAGTATCATCCAACAGTCCAGATGTATTTTAATTATAGACTCCGGCAAGTGTGTGTGTGTGTGTGTCTGCGTGTGTGTGGAGTGGGCGGGGGGGGGGGGGGGGGTGGTGTGGGGGGAAGGGAGGGGCGGCGAAAAATGGACTAACAACTCAAGGTCAGGACCAGAGAGGGAATCTGCCCACTAGCTCTCAGTACTATTGTGTTCTTGAAAAAAGATGGGGAACATTGACTACTTTGTTTAGCCGCTGTTTGATGTGGTTCTGTTCAGAGTGCGCGGCATATTTCGCCAGAGACAGAAGTCCCGCAAATGGACAGCCACTGATAAGGGGGCAGCGGATGTTGGGGGTGGGGAACGGATGGACAAAAGCTTAAAGGAACATTGTGGAGTCCTGTAGCCTAGTGGTTGGAGCACTCGCCTCGCAAGCGAGAGGACCTGAGTTCGATTCCCGAGCAGCGAATCCTCAGGCGCACGCGCCTCTGTTTACCTCTCAGTAAATAGGAACCCGTTTTCTTAGTCGATTGGCGGATGTTTTTTGCGGAGGTAAAGAGAGTTTGTTTCTCTCTCTCTCCTGGTGTCCTGGTCGACAATCCCCCGAATAAAATTCATCATTCACTCCATGAATGTTTATGGGAGGCCGCTGGTGCCAACTGGCTGCCGCGTTTCGTCCACAAAATACACGGTTGGGTGGCCAGGACACCAGGAGAGAGAGAAACTCCTTTCTCTTTTCAAATAGGGCCACGGGAGATCTTTAACGTCCACTTGAACGGGCAGACGGGGAGTGAGGTTTGATGAAGGACGTCATCTCCAACAACGCAACACACCCGAGCAGTGCATTGGAGCGTCAGCTTAGACTGAGGTGGTCCTAACGTTTTGGCGGCTGAGGGCCGGATGCGGATTTGAGAAACGTCTCCGGGCCACATAAGCAATATTTTTTGTGTTTCCTTTCAGGAAATCTAACCTGTAATAACATATAGAAATTCTACCTTTTAACGTGTCAATTTAATTTAAATCAGTCGCTTACTCCATGACTGTTTGTGGGACACTGCTGCGTGTAATTGGCTGCCGTGTTTCACCCACAAAATACACAGTATGTTCGGTGAAGTGCTTTTAGACGTCTCAACGATGTGATAAGGTGCTCTATCAAATGTAAGGATTATTATTATTATTAATCGTCTTAGGACCGGGTTCCCACCGTGGGCTATTTTTGACCGCTTTTGTTTTCACGTGTAAGAAAAAAATCCTGGTCCAAATATAGCATTTATTTTCCTTTGGCCTCTATCAACCGCGGCAAATGAGTCTGTTGCACAGAATTGATAAGCGGAGGTTCAGAGGAAACACTGTGTTATAGCTAGCCCGGATTTTATTATGTCTGTCTCACACACACCTGCAGATATGTACTTGCGCGGACATCCCAATGCGAAGCGTTTGTGTTCTATGGGGACCTAAAAAGAGAGAGAGAGAGACATTCTATTGCACTTTCTCTTGACGGTGGGGGGGGGGTAAAAATCTCCGATATTCCAAGGTCAAGTGAACTTGGGAGAAGATAAAGACAGGTTCTCAGGTTTCAGGCGAGAAACACAGCATACATCCCACCCACTCATTCACTCACTCACCCACCGACCCAGCCGTCCACCATCAGCCTGGCCAGAGCTACATGGGGGAGAGTTTGATGGAGTTGGTGCCTAGTGCATAGCCTGAGGGAGTCTGAGACAGTGCGAGAGAGTCTGAGAGTCTGAGACAGTGGGAGACACCCTGAGAGAGTCTGAGAACAGTAAGCGACCCCCCGAGAGAGTCTGAGACACCCCGAGAGAGTCTGAGACACCCTGAGAGAGTCTGAGACAGTGAGAGACACCCTGAGAGAGTCTGAGACACCCTGAGAGAGTCTGAGACAGTGAGAGACACCCTGAGAGAGTCTGAGACACCCTGAGAGAGTCTGAGACAGTGAGAGACACCCTGAGAGAGTCTGAGACACCCTGAGAGAGTCTGAGACAGTGAGAGACACCCTGAGAGAGTCTGAGATAGCCTGAGAAAGTCTGAGACAGTGAGAGACACCCCGAGAGAGTCTGAGACACCCTGAGACAATCTGAGACAACTTGTAATCCCTTGCAAAATAGCTGGTAATTTTTTTTTCCGCATTTGTTTATTTGTTTGGTGGACGGGACTGCAACCTGTTTACTATGGCTTTGCTCAGCATTCCCTTAGCTCTGCTACTGATTTCAGCCCAGCTGGGACTTTCTCTCGCTCTCCCCCTATCCGAAGGGGCTTCACCCACTAAGATGACAATATCGTCTCCGTTGCCAGTCAACATGTCCAGGTAAGATGCAGCCTGGGGCTCTCTGCATGTCAGCAATGCCCAGGACCTTTGTATTAGACATGGCAGCTTTCACGCCAGTCACTACACTAAAGTAACTAAATCCCGTGAAGTGCTTTGAGACATTTCAACATCACACTGTCAAACACGCGGATTAAGAACCATAAATAACCCTTATGTTTGATATAGCGCTTTATCACGTCTTAGAGATGTCTCAAAGCATTTCACAGAATGTATTGTAAAGTGTAGTGACTGTATATTTTATGGGTGAAATGCGGTAACTTATTGCGCACAGCAGAGCCCCACAAACAGTCGCGGATTGAGTGACCAAATTTTTTTAAAAAAGGGATTATTACCCCCGGAAAAGCGGTCTAACCACTGAGCTACAGGACTCCACACAGAAAGGTTGGCTGAGCAAAGGGAAGGGGGGGGGGGTAGAGGAGTGGGGTGTGAGCAGATCGGAGAGGTAGAGAGGTGCCAGGGCATGAAGGGATTTGTTAGTGAGTGTGAGGAGCTTGAACTCGATGTGTTGTGTGACAGGGAGCCAGTGGAGACTGGCGAGGACTGACGGGGGGGAATGGGGGTGCGGAGTTTGCTGCGGGCGAGGACATGCACTACACAACTGACAAATCTTAAAAGTCACTGAACGCACATTTTCACATCGTAATCTCTTGGATGCAAACGTGTCTGTACCTGTGGAGTTTTAGAGGAATGTGGGGAGTGCGATTCCGAGGGAACAATAGAGAGTATTCAATCAAATTTACAAGTCCATAGCGTCTCAGGACAGAGAGGACTGGCAGAGAGGTCAGTGACAAGGGTTAGAGACACAGTAAAGTTCCCTCTATACTGTGCGTCCATAATTGGCTGCAGCGTTTTGCCTACAAAATACACAGTCACTGCACTTTACAGAATATTGTGAAGCGCTTTGAGGGGTCTCAATGACGTGATAAGGAGCTGTATCAAATGCAAGGATTATTATTAATATTATTATTTCAGCTTAGTGCTGAGATGGGGAAGGGCGGCCCACATTGTTAGAAACACAGTTAAACAGAGGTCCCGTCTGTGCTCTGTTCAGGCGGACATCAAAGATCTCCCACAGCGCTATTGGGGAAAAGAGGAAGGAGTTTTTCTCTTTTTCGCTCTCTCCCAGTCCCCCCCAGATAAAATTGCTCGCTTGCTCGCGTGACGGCTGTTTGCTGGGATGTTGCTGTGCGCAAATTGATTGCCGTGCTTGTCCTGAAACAAAAATATTTGACAGTAATTATCGACGAGCAGTTTTTTTTTTCCATGCGATTAAAAAGTTCCTATAAAAACGCCAGCTCTTTGGGTCCTATTTCGGTCGAAAGCAAATGTCAAGAGATTTAATAACAAGAGGAGATACAGACTAAACACCTCTCTCCCCTCCTTTCCCCAATGCGTACCATTCTTGGCATTATTCCACAAGCTGTGATAGACTGACTGCTCAGTACTGTTCATAGATACTGATCCACACTTATACAATAATAATCCTTGCAGTTGATTCTGCGCCTTATTAAGTTGTTGAGACGTCTCAAAGTGCTTCACAGAATAAAGTTTGCGGGACATTGCTGTGCTTAAAATTGTCTGTCAGGGTGTCTCAAAACAAAACACAGTCACTGCACTGACTGCAGAGAACTTTAACATCCCCCTGAACAGGCACACAGATGGGAGTGAGAATGATTATGATTTATGGAAATAAACACACTTTTTAAAAAAGGTTTATTTGTGTTTCAGGTGTAAGGAGAGTTTGGTGCGAAGTATGAAAACGGTTCTGCTTCGGGGTTTAAACCTCGAACGCGCTCCCTCTGTAAATCCGCAACTGACACACTCACTGCGGGTCATGTGGAGAGCCAACCTCGGGCTTCTGGCAGGAGAAACTCAACCAGGTACATTTAATAATAACAATTATAATTCTAGAGATAGAGACAGACAGACACACAGACAGACAGACACACAGACAGACACACAGACACACAACATATTAAATTTACACAGCGTTCATGTCGGGAAGACGTCCCAAGGCGCTGGACAGTCAGGGATTTGAACCCGAGCTGGGCGTTGGGCAGGGAGGGTGGGGTAGGAGGGTGACCGAAGGCGCAGTCGAGGAAGAGGATCTTGAGACAGGCCTTGAAGGAGGCAAGGAAGGGAGCGAGGGGAATGGGATTGTGGGATGGAGTTCCAAAGGGTGGGGGCAGAGAGGCTGAAGGCAGGGAGACAGATAGAGAGACACAGATACACAGACACACACACACACAGACAGACACAGAGGGAGGGATGTGAGGTATGATTAAAACCAATGTGTTTGATGGCAGCAGAGAGCCAGAGCCTGACAGACACAGCGGCCTCAGCCGTGAGCACTCACACAGCGGGGCAGAGAGACTGCTGCCAGACTGTCTCCATCTCCCTCACAGGTAAGAGGGTAAGATTAGCTTGCCTTAACCTGGCTTAACTTGTCACTGCCACTTAAATCAACACGGTGTCAATATCCCGGCTGCATTTATTTATGTAATTATACACGCGCCCACCTCGCCACTTCTCGTCACTTAGCCCTTTTCCCTTCGAGTGACCAGCTATCAGGAGGTTGTATATTATTATACCCTCAAAAACAAATGTGGTCACTTAACCCACGACTGTTTGTGGGTCACTGTTGCGCGCAATCGGTTTGCCTCGTTTTGCCCACAAAATACACACGCGGTGACTACACTTTATATATCCCGTGAAGCACTTTGAGAGATGTCGCAAAGACGTGGTAGGGCGCTGTATCAAATGCAAGGATTATTATTATTATATCTATAAAGATGATCAACGTGAGTTTAATAGCCTGTCTGCCCTTTCCCACTCCACTCAGATCTCGGCTGGGAAAACTGGATCATTCACCCAGAGGAGTTTCCCTACATCCTGTGCACCAACTGCAGAGCAGGGAGAAACTCACAGTCACCACACTGCACCCATGACCAGCAGAGACACACAGCGCGCAAGGTATGTCCTCCCAGCCCACTCCCCCCCCTTCTCCATCTTCAGGTTGTATGGCTTGGAAGAACCAAGCAACTTTGGACCTAAGGTTTCGGAACCTTTCCGCTGTGCCGTAGACTAATCCACGCAGAATTAATTGCTATCAGCATCTCTTCTATATTGTAGCATGTTACTGCCAGAATGGTAGAAAGCGAACTAGATGGACCTTGGACTTCTTATCCTCCATTCTTTTGCTCCTGTGAGAGCGAGCGTCAAAGGAGATATGGAGGCCTGTAGCTCGGTGGTTAGAGCACTCGCCTCGCAAGCGAGACAACCCGGGTTCGATTCCCAGGCGGGCAGGGTGAAACGTTGGGCAAGTTTCGTTACTCCACACACACACCTGGGTGTGTGGACAGTGTAGAGGGAGCAGTAAATAGGAATCCAGTTGCTAGTCGATTGGCAGATTGCTTTTCTGGGGTAATAACCTCTCAAATAATAATAATTTGGTCACTCAATCCACAACTGTTTGTGGGACACTGCTGTGCGCAATTGGCTGCCGAGTTTCGCCCACAAAATATAGTCAGTTCACTTTAGAGTATATGCTGTGAAGCGCTTTGAGACGTGTTGAAGACGTGATAAGGAGCTGTATCAATTGCAAGGATTATTATAAAGGTGAGAAAGTGGATGTTACAGTGAATTCTGGGCTGTGAGGTCAATGTGAAGTGGGTTAATATAACCTGGTTTGGACACTGAGCTGAACTTAACACTCCCTGCCTTATCCCACTCTACAGGCTAAATGCTGCCGAAACAACAGACGGACATGGGTGTCTGTGGTTTACATAGACGCAGACGAGGGGCTGGTGACGAGTAATGTGCCCCTGACCGCAAGGTGTAGCTGTCGGGCATGAAGGCCCCCGCTCTTCCCCGCCCCCACCAGCCCCCCGAGGAAGGTTACGAGAGGAGCGAACTTTCGTTGTGTCCTTGTGCTGAGAAAAAAACTCCCCTTCCCCCTTCCTTCTTCACCCCTTCCTCCGCCCACCCCCCCACCCCCCGCAAAGGAGAAATAAAATCGGCTTCAAAGACTGACGGAAATTCCCACCACCGTCAACTCATGCTTCCAAAACTCCGTGACCGTCTCTGTGAGCACTTGGCTGCCATAATAATAATCCTTGCTTTTGACACAGCGCCTCATCACGACTTCAAGACGTCGCAAAGCGCCTCAGAGGATACACTGTGAAGTGAATTAACTGTATATTTTGGGGGCGAAATAATCCTACCATTTAACACAGCCCCTTTCACGGCAGGCGGAGGTCTCAAAAGGATTTTTCATGTCCAGTGACTGTGTGTTGTGTGAACGATTTACCTATTGAGTGTTTTTTTTGATTAGTTACGTGTGTTGTCGCAGTTTAGACTCTCTGTCCCCACGTGTGTGTAAATGAGCCCGGCCTGTACATAGCCTTTAGTACATCGAAATATACTGTTCCTGTTTCGTGCATCTTCGTTCATTTGAGGTCCTGGAAATTGAGCTGTTCAGATCGGTGTCTGTTTGTTTTATCCTGTGTTTTCTGCGATCTGTTGCCTAGAGGGGCGCTGTGTTAAATATATAAATATATGTCTGCACTGTATATAAACTGTATATATATATAAAATTGGTTCCGTGAAAACTTCTTAAGAAGTAGGATTCTACAGGAGTCTTAACAAACCGCACTCACTGGGACTAGCTCCAGGCGGATAATTGCTCTGTGTTCGTCTCTCTCTCTCTCTCTCTCTGTCTATCTGTGCATCTCTTCTCTTTCTGTAAGAGAGAGGGATAAAGGACGATACAGACAGACTGATGGAGTGAGAAAGACACAGAGAGAGATACACATACAACCAGACACACACACACAGGAAAAACAGAACACACTACTCATTAAAAAGTTTAGTTCAAAATTACTTTTATTCTCCCAAGATCTCCACAAAACCAAATAAAATAATGGCTGAAAGTTTGAGAGAATTGGACTCCGGTCACAACAACAGGAGTGAACCTTGCCATTACCCCAGCCCACGTCAGGCAGGTGCTAAGCTGCTGGTGAGTGAAGGAGGGCGAGAGGCAGAGAGAGACTCCAAACCAACGACACTCGCTGGGTGAGTGTGCGTCGGTCTGTGGTTGTGTGTGTTCACACCCCAACCTGCCTGCCTCAAAATGCAGGGAACAGCAAAGGGTTTAACAGAATGCACACACACGCTACCCCGAGCGGCTGATCTCTCACCCCCTCCACGTCGCTCACCCACAAACCTGACCCACAAGCAGTTACCACTACCTGAACTAACTCCCCTCAATTACCTGCCTGTTAATTTACCCCATTAACCCCATCTCTCTCTCTCTCCCCCTCTTTCCCCACCCCAGGCCTTTAACCCTCTAACTCCCAACTAGTTAGACGCTTGCCTGATATGTACATCACAGGAGTGAAATTCCTCAGTCGCAGCCTTAAACGTTTAGGTTCATCCCAATTCATTTATTTGGGTCTTACCTAATTCCGGAGAGTATTAGGCGCAGGTTGGCAAGAGCCAAGGCTTGGGAAGAGCCCAGAGTGTGCGTTGGGGTAACCTCTGGAGTCTAATTAGCTAAAACCACACACGGCCTGGCCTTTGAGAGCACTGTCTGGCCAAGCTTTCCCACTGCTTGGCAGCTAGGACCACCCTCCCCATTAGTTAGTTAGTTAGTTAGTTAGGGCTTTGGCTGCAGGGTTAACAGGAGCTGGAGGGGGAGGACTCCCTGCCGCCAATGACTGGTTGGCCCTTCCAGGTCCTGCCGATGACCCCGGCCGGGCTGGGATATGGCTAAGTATTTAGACTGTGAGGAATTTCAGGCCTTTGATGCTTAAGAAAGTGGTTCTTGTGATTGGCAGCAGATGAGGTTTCAGGTATAAACTCCCGGCACGACACACTTACAGTAGAGTAAGCAGCTCCCAGTGAACGACAAACTGTATAATATCATCGTCATTGTCCCATTAGCCTTGGAAATAACCCCCCCCCCCCCCCCCCCCCCCACTGGGACATTGGATTTTTCTGAAACTAATTTCCAACGTCAAAAAGTGTTTGACTGAAAATGTTCCAACCCTAAGACCCAACCCCAACTCTATCCCCCAACCCAACCAAACCCACCCCCCACCCAAACCCCAACCCAACACTAGCTCCTCGCCCCAACCCTAGGCCCCAACCCTAGTCCTCAACCAAACCCCCAACCCCAGACCACCCTTCAGTCAATTTCCCTCCACCACTCCTCACATCCTGCACTGACCCCCCCACCCCACTACTCCATTTCCTCTCCCATCCTTCCCTCCCCTTCCCCACCTCTCCTCCATTTCCTCCTCCCCTCTTGCATTGGCAACCTACCTATCCACCGCCCCCCCTCCCCCACCTCCCGCTGGTGTCGCTCTCACTCGATGAGTTTCTTGGCCTTGAAGAAACGCCTCAGGTAAAAGACCTGCCAGGTGGCCAAGCCAACCAGACAGAACATAGAGAAGATACTGAAATACAGCACTCTGGCACTCGTGGACTCTGTGAGAGAGAAGGGGGGGAGGGAGAGGAGAGAGAGGGGGAGGGAGGGGAGAGAGAGAGGGGGGGAGATAGAGAGGTTAATGTTAACAACAGTGTTCTCTGGTCAGGCCACAATAATATTTATACAGCACTTCATGTCAGGCGCCCTCCCAAGTGTGCGAGTGATTGAGTGGGAGGGAGGGAGAGTGTGACATAAGAGTGTGAGAGAGTGAGTGAGTGAGTGAGTGAGTGAATGAGTGTGTGAGAGGTGGGGGGGGGGGGGAAGGAGCAAAAGGGAGACTGGAACCAGAAACATGTACAGCCATTCAGCCCATTTTTTCTGTACCAATCCCTCGAAGAGCAATCCTTTCAGTCTCAGTGTCAGACGCACTTGATATTCATTTAATTTCGCCCACAAAAAACACACAGTCTCTACACTTCACAGTGTGAAACGCACTGAGACGTCTTGAAGACGTGACGCGGCGCCGGGTCAAACGGCAGCATTATTATTATTATTATTATTATTATTTTTTTACGTGCTGTGTTAGAGCGCCACAAGGTGTCAGTGCGGCGGTACTGCAATGGTCACAATTCCTGTCAACTGTCAGCCCTAATTCTGGGAAGGAAAACTGGAGGCAATGCCCCACTCCTTCCCCACTCCCCACCACCCCCCCCACACACTCCCCCCTCCCCCCCCCCACCACCCTCCCCTTGATCTGTAAGCCACCACCTGCGTGTGTCTGCACCTGTGTGCGTCTGTACCACAAGGGACAGAGAGGAACATATAGAATAATAATAATGGTCCTGGCTAGCGCCTTATCATGTCTTCGAGACGTCTCGAAGCGCTTCACAGGATACACTGTAAAGTGTAGTGACTGTGTGCTGGTGTTGTGAGTGAGACGCGGCAGCTGACTGCACCCAGCGACGTCCCTCTTACCGTTGGTATCTCTCATTTCCTCCTCTCGTTGCTTCATGTAGGCAAAGTCATTGACGATGGATTCTGAGAGATCCTCCAGGCGTCGCAACTCAACCTCCAGCGGCTTCAGCTTCTCAGCTTTGGCGATCTGCAGGGGGTGGGTGGGGGGGGGGGGGGGGGAGCAGGGACGGAGAGGGGAGAGGGGAGAAAGGGAGGGAGGAGAGAGAGAGAAAGTGGAAGGGGGGAGAGAAAGCAAGGGAGGGGGGCAATAGGGAAAATATCATATTTTTATTCTTAGCCGTAAAGAAAAACAACAACTTGCATTGATACAGTGCCCTTCACGGGGGGGGCAGCAAAGTGTAGTGACTGTGTACTTTTGTGGGTGAAACGTGGCAGCCAATTGCGCCCCGCGACATCCCCACAAACAGTCGTGGATTGAATGACCAAATTATTATTAGCTTTTTTCAAGCAATTATTACCCCGGAAAAGCGATCTCCAGTCGATTAACGTACTGCTGGTAAACAGGGGCGCGCGCGCGTGTGTGTGTGTGTGTGGTGGGGGGGGGGGGGATCGAACCCAGGTCCGCTGGCGTGCGAGGTGAGGGCTCTAACCCCTTTGAGCTACAAGATTCCGCAGGAGATAAAGAAAGGAAAGCAATGGTGACTCACATCCTCGTAACTCTTGGCCTCTACCCCGTGTTTGGTGTTGAGGGTCACGACCTGGTCAGGGACTCGGAAATGGCCTGTGGACGGGAACGGAAAAGCAACCACTTTATTTTGAACGACGCGCAGCCCGTCGCAGAGGGCGCACTTTCTCAAAGCGCTGGCACGGAATATCCCGCATAGAGTGCAGCGACTGCGTATTTCGTGGGCGGAATGCAGCGGCCGATTGCGCACAGCAGCGTCCCCACAAACAGTTGAGTGACCAAACTTTATTTGGGGGTGTTGTTGACCAGGACACCGAGAGAGAGAGAGAGAGAGAGAGAGAGAAACACGCACTCAGCGCTGCATTGCAGCATCAGCTTCGACCGTGTGATTCCAAGTCCTGACGTGTGAGGGGCTTGAACCCACAACCTCCTGACACAGAAGTGAGAGAGAGAGAGAGAGAGAGACTGAGCCGTGCGGACAGCACTCACCTGGGGGGAGTTTGCTCTCGAAGCAGATCTCAAACATGTCGTAATCGTCCGTGGTGAAGGCAAACTTGCCTTTAGTGGCGTCTTCCTTCGAATACAGGATGTGACCCGATGAGTCTGTGACCTGGAAGAGAACAGCAGCTAAAGGCAACCGCAACTTGTCCCTCACGTCGGGCAGCGTCTCAGAGCGCTCTGAGGCGTCCGGATAGGACTCAGGGTGCGAGCAGCTGTCTATTCCAAAACAGAACAACTCAATAATCATGGTGAGTGTGTGAGAGTGAGTGTGTGTGAGAGTGAGTGTGTGTGAGAGTGAGTGTGTGTGTGGAGAGGGTGTGAGAGTGAGTGATTGAGTGTGCGTGAGTGTGTGTGAGAGTGAGTGTGTGAGAGGGTGTGAGAGTGAGTGATTGAGTGTGCGTGAGTGTGTGAGAGAGTGAGTGTGTGTGTGTGAGAGAGTGAGTGTGTGTGTGAGAGAGTGAGTGTGTGTGTGAGAGAGTGAGTGTGTGTGTGAGAGGGTGTGAGAGTGAGTGATTGAGTGTGCGTGTGAGTGTGTGAGAGAGTGAGTGTGTGTGAGTGTGTGTGTGAGACGGTGTGAGAGTGAGTGATTGAGTGTGAGTGTGTGAGAGAGTGAGTGTGAGAGTGTGTGACACGATGTGGAGGGTGTAAAAGTGATTGAGTGTATACGAGTGTGAGTGAGTGTGTAAGAGTGAGTGAGTGTGAGAGTGTGTGTCAGTGTGAGAGTGAGTGTGTAAGTGACAGTGGGGGGGCAGTGTGGGGGGTATGGTGTGTGGGGGTATGTGTGGGGGGGCAGTGGGGTGTGTGGGGGGGCTGTGTGGGGGCAGTGTGTGGGCTGTGGGGGGCTGTGGGGGTGGGGGGCTGTGGGGGCAGTGTGTGTGGGGGGCTGTGGGGGGGCTGTGGGGGGCAGTGTGTGGGGGGGGCAGTGGGTGTGTGGGGGGGCTGTGGGGGGGCAGTGTGTGGGCTGTGGGGGACAGTGTGTGGGCTGTGGGGGGGCAGTGTATGTGGGGGCTGTGGGGTGGGGCTGTGGGGGGCAGTGTGTGGGGGCAGTGTGTGGGGGGGGTGTGGGGGGGCGCTGACCTTCAGGTGGGCGCTCAGTCCCGGTTGGTCACTGATTTGATAGTCTCAGTGTGTGTGTGTGTGTGGGGGGGCAGTGTGTGGGGTGGGGGGGCTGTGGGGGGGGGTGGGGGGCAGTGTGTGGGATGCAGGGCTGTGGGGGGCAGTGTGTGGGGGGAGGGGGCTGTGTGGGGGGGGCAGTGTGTGGGGGCAGTGTGTGGGTGGGGGGGGCAATGGGGGGGGGCTGTGGGGGGCAGTGTGTGGGGGGGGGGGGTGTGGGCTGTGGGGGGGGCTGTGTGTGGGCTGTGGGGGGCAGTGGGGGTGTGGGTGTGTGTGTGGGGGTATGTGTGGGGGTGGGGGGGCTGTGGGGGGGCAGTGTGTGGGGGCAGTGTGGGGGGGGGGCTGTGGGGGGCTGTGTGGGGGCAGTGTGTGGGGGGGGCTGTGGGGGGCAGTGTGTGGGGTGTGGGGCAGTCTGTTGGGGGGGCAGTGTGTGGGGGGGGGCAGTGTGTGGGGGGGGGCAGTGTGTGTGGGGGGTGTGGGGCAGTGTGTGGGGGGTGTGTGGGGGGCAGTGTGTGGGGGGTGTGTGGGCTGTGGGGGGGCGCTGACCTTCAGGTGGGCGCTCAGTCCCCGGTTGGTCACTGATTTGATAGTCTCAGTGTGTGTGTGTGTGTATGGGGGCAGTGTGTGGGGGGGGCAGTGTGTGGGGGGGCAGTGTGTGGGGGGGGCAGTGTGTGGGGGCTGTGGGGGGCTGTGGGGGGCAGTGTGTGGGGGGGGCAGTGTGTGGGGGGCTGTGGGGGCTGTGGGGGCAGTGTGTGGGGGCAGTGTGTGGGGTGTGGGCTGTGGGGGGGCGCTGACCTTCAGGTGGGCGCTCAGTCCCGGTTGGTCACTGATTTGATAGTCTCAGTGTGTGTGTGTGTGTGGGGGTATGTGTGGGGGCAGTGGGGGGGGGCAGTGTGTGGGGGGGGGGTGTGGGGGGGGGGGCTGTGTGTGTGGGGGGGGCAGTGTGTGGGGGGGCTGTGGGGTGTGGGGTGTGGGGGGGGGCGCTGACCTTCAGGTGGGCGCTCAGTCCCGGTTGGTCACTGATTTGATAGTCTCCGGTCACTAAGACATCTTTGTGGATTTCTTCGCGGAGACACTTCCTGTTGTTGGGCGCGAGGCTGAAGGAGACGCCGAGGCTCGGGGCGGGGCCCAGGAGGAGCAGCAGCAGCGCCGCCGCCACCGGGACCCACACAGACACCGACGCGGACGCGGACACGGCGGCGGCCATCGCGATCAACACAGACGTGGCGCTGCCTCCACTTCCGGCCAGTGTCATTTCCGGTTCCGGGCCATCTGCTTCCGGTCGTGCTGACGGGTGAGGAGGCGGGGCTGGGGGCGGTGGGCGGGGCTGGAGGGCGGTGGGCGGGGCTGGAGGGCGGTGGGAGGGGTTTAGTGGGCGGTGGGAGGTACCAGCAGACAGGGCGGGGCTATAGGCTCAAGGGACGGGCTATATGGTGTGTGGGAGGGCGGGGCTTACAGGTTGAGGCGGGACTAGAGCGGTGGTGTCCCCGCCCCCTGCTGACACGGCGCCCCCCCTCCCCCCCATTCCCCCTCACGCCCCCCACTCTCCTCCCCCCACCGTCCCCTCCCATCCTGAATAATAATAATCCTCTGTGTGTGTGTGGGCGCGGAGGGGGGGAGGGGTTACGGAGAGGGGGTTGCGGGGGGAGGGGTTGTGGGGGGAGGGTTGCGGGGGGAGGGGCTGGCGGGAGGGGAGGGGTTGCGGGGGGAGGGGTTGTGGGGGGGTTGCGGAGGGTTGCGGGGGGAGGGTTGCGGGGGGGAGGGGTTGCGGGGGAGGGGTTGCGGGGGGAGGGTTGCGGGGGGGGGTTGCGGGGGAGGGGTTGCGTGGGGGGAGGGTTGCGGGGGGGGGGGGGAGGGGTTGGGGGGGGGGGGGGGGGGGGGTTGCGGGGGGGGGGGGGGGGGGGGGGGGGGGGGCGGGGGGGGAGGGGTTGCGGGGGGAGGGTTGCGTGGGGGAGGGGTTGCGTGGGAGGGTTGCGGGGGGAGGCGTTGCGGGGGAGGGTTGCGGGGGGAGGT